TAATAATGCGAGCTTTTTATAACATTTTTCGGTAGAATGGCAGTCTCCACCCTGTAACGCAGAGAGGCAGTTAAATTCCTTGATCTTCTGCCGCAGAATCATCATCATTATTAAATAGATTCAACTAATCGCTCCGATTCCAAATAAGCTACTGCACCACCATTGCTAGCTGTGGAGGGCGCCCGTAGGGCGCCCGGAGCAGCTAGTAGGTTTAAATTTTTAGTAATGCGAAGTTATATCACGATGAAAATTTCAGATTTCATAAGTAAAGTTGATCAATTTTGGAGTTTAGTTTAGAGGTATCATGCAAGTAACAATAAAAGATCTGGTAAAATTTACGAGGTACTTTTAACTCCATAACAGTAACAGTTTATGCACTTTTCCTCCTGTAAATTCTTTTTCTGTGCCTCCCGTAATTGAAGTCACATCATCCTTTTTTCGACGGGAAAGAAGTTTGGGTCTCTTCATTGGGAGTACTTTTAAGATTAATACACCTAACTCTGGAAAAAAAACACATTGGATCTAGAGTCCAGACTCTTGAAAACATTGACAAGAAAAAGGACTCTTGATTCCACCAGATTTAAGCTTAAATCAAAAGGAAATCCGCTCAAATTAAGAGGCTTGACTCTTGATTTAAGCAAAAATCCGATTGAATCAAGAGTATTTTTTCTTGAGTCTGGACTCTAGATCCATGTGTTTTTTTTTTCCAGTGCATGAGACGCGTTTACTCGTGTTGAACACATTTTTTGTGAAAGCTTTGTCAACACTACTAGCAAAAGTTCACGGAACATTGCACGAAAGTTAAGTTTCGTAAATCTATCTCTGTGTGGACAAGGCCTTCCACTCATAAGAAATGAACGAAAAAATTATGAAAGAACAAACATAAATGTGGATTAATGATTTTAACTTCCGCCGCCGCGCCGCGCGGACCGCACCGTGTTTGGCGCAATGCGTGAAGTATTCACGCAGTCTTGTAGGCGCTATGCGTTTCCCACTGATCGCACTGTGTTTTCTGCAATGCGTGAAGTATTCATGTATTCTTGTAGGCGCTATCCTTTTCACGCTGACTGGAACACTGGAAAAAAAAAACACATTGGATCTAGAGTACAGACTCTTGAAAATATTGACAAGAAAAAATACTCATGATTCAGTCAGATTTAAGCTTAAATCAAAAGGAAATCCGCTCAAATTAAGAGGCTTCATTCTTGGTTTAAGCTTGAATCTGATTGAATCAGGAGTATTTTCTCTTGTCGATGTTTTGGCGAGTCTGGACTCTAGATCCAATGTGTTTTTTTTCCAGTGAAATATTCTGATAGTGTCATTCTTGGTGTTGATTTGCTCCTGTTCAGAAAAACTCCTTATATTTTGTAATTTTCGAAAAAATTCCGTAATTCCTTCCTTGCCATTTGTCTTCAAAAATTAAATAGTTAACGACCGTATCGATTCCTTCTTCAGGTATTACAAAAATATGAAGCGGCACTCGGCGATATCTCGTGACTTCACTTCTCAGAGTTTGGAAAAAGCTGTGTTTTGGGTGGAGCATGTGGCGAAATTCGGCGGGGCATCGCATCTCAGGCCTGCAACAGCTGACGCCTCCATTTTCCAATATTTCTGTTTGGATTTAATTTCTGTGATATTGGCTTTAAGTTTGTTAATTTTATTCATCATCTACTGCGTCTTTAAATTATTAGTGTCGGTCGTTTTACAAAAATCGCAGTTGAAAATGAAAGCATCTTAGACCGACCCAAAAAAGATGCGGCAATGACGACCCAAAATTTTCTTCTCTGATGGGATTTTGATTTCAGTTACCGACACTTTCCCAGTTACCTACCTCAATTTACATTCTTTTAACACACTGGAAAAAAAACACATTGGATCTAGAGCCCAGACTCTTAAAAACATCGACAAGAAAAGATACTCTTGATTCAATCGGATTTAAGCTTAAATCAAGAACTCAGCCTCTTAATTTGAGCGGATTTCCTTTTGATTTAAGCTTAAATCTGATTGAATCAAGAGTATTTTTTCTCGTCAATGTTTTCAAGAGTCTGGACTCTAGATCCAATGTGTTTTTTTTCCAGTGCAGTGAATGCAAAACGAGACTGAAGAATCAGTCCGTAGTGTTGACATTTCCTTCAAACGGCAAACTTCCACAGTTCAAACTTCAAAGGATGCAGGCAACAATTTCCATAAAAATGAAATTCAAGCGAAGAAAATTTACAGACAATTTCAATACTGTAAGTTTGTTTCATTTTGAAAAAGTAAAAAAACACAAGTACTGATTTCCAACGATGCCATCTGAGGTGCATATCTCTCGATACCAGCAAAATATCAACGGCGCAAGTCCGCAATCACATATCTCGTTTGCGGTGTCTGAAAATCTCCGCCTCTATGTTATTTTGTTAAAGGAGAACAAATTGACATCATTCCTTGAAGTTTTTGCTGAATTTTCTTCGCACAGAGAAAAAAAATCACGGCAGTTTTAAAGAATTGCCGTTGAGTAGTTTTCCGTTTAAAAAATAAAGTATGACAGGAAGTCTGCGACGCCGCAAACCGAGTTTCGTGATTGCCGTCTTACACCGTCGATACACGCATTGAAGCACTTTATGGTGTATATTTTCCGATTTACTTTAGTGTCTGAATGTATTTTCATTATAATAGTATATAATACATTTTTTTCCGTTCTTTTGAACTCCACCTCATTCCGTTTCATACGCAGTGCATTTTTCAATGTAAAAAATTCACTCCGTTTCATACGCAGTGCATTTTTCCACGTAAAAAAATTTTAAAAAAAATTTGCGAGCTCAGCTCATTACAAGCACTCTTAGATTGAGCATTAAATTTTTTGTGCAAGTTCTCCATTACGTATATTTGAAAAAAAAAATGAAATAAAACGCATGCGCGAATAATTGTGCGCAAAATGATGAAGTGGACTACATTTTGCAATTAGGAACTACTATTTCTGGCTCATTATAGATACAACATATCAGCCAATAGTTTTCGTATATAGATAGGTGTTTTTACGTGTCGTATAAGCCAGAAATTGTAGCTCCCTAATGCAATCCAAATGAGGTGACGGATTTTGTAGCAGAGCTCTTCCTACGTTGGAAGTGAGAATCAAATCAGTGACAGGGCCCTAATGTGCTCTGAAACTTATTAGTCGGGAATGCCTAGACTAATGAAAACCAGATGAGAGTAGGCTAAGGCTAGTTAGGTAAAGTGTGATGAAATTAAGCTCATTGTTAGGTCAGGTTATAGGATACAAGGTAAACGAAACGAGGGTAATGCTCTTCCCTGAACCAAGCATCTGAAATCGACGAAACGCTGAGTCGCTTTGGTTTGGTTTCAGCCTTGACAGGAAGTTTGAAAAAAAGTTCAGATTCTGTTATATTTGGCTTTTAATGATCTGTCTCCCTTTTTGGATCGTGTTGGATACATTAAACAGTCTAGATTTTATCGATATCGATTGGTTCAAGTTGTAAACATGGCCTCAAAAGACAATTATTGAGGAATCTGTGAGAACAGGTTTTAGTGATAGATTTTTAATTTTTATGAATATACACCGGGAATGAAAAGTGATATTCTTAGGTATTTTCTCAATTTTATCTTTTCCTACTTAAGTCTTAAAAGATTTGTTTGAAGTTATGATCCATTGTTTAGGACCAAACGATACATCAAACCACTATCAAATATAATCCATGAGTAACGCTAAAAGACTGGAACTGATCCAACGCAAAAAAGTGTTCTGTCGATTTTGGGTGTTTGAACAGGGAAAGATCCAGTGGCGATTTTGCAAGTTGGCGACATTTATTTTCCTCGTTTAGCTCCATTAAAAACATCGATCACAAAAATTGATTATTCAATTCTAAAATCGATATTCTTAATGTATTTAAACGAAGGAAAAACGCTGTTACTAACTCTGAAGAATCTTTTGGGAAGATCATTCTTTCGCTTTGCCTATATTTTCATTTTTAAATTGTTGATCTCCCGTATGAATGTATGTATGGAAGATTCTCGGTTGAAGCGGGAAGATTCGCTGGTTGAGATTAACGGCAAAAGATTGGTTTTTGGACCTAGGAAAAATGCTGTTGTATGGCACCACAATCTAGAGGGTATATTTTAGAAAATTCCATTAAAATCGTAGTGAGAGGCCCCATGATTTGGTGAGAAACAGCGTAGCTCCGGCTTTTAAACTTGCAAAATACTTGGAAAAAACTCGAAATCAAACACTACGAAACAAGCATCTGCATCTGGAAAATGAAGTAAAGAAAATTAAGACGACGAGGGCTTAAAAAAAAAATTTCTCTCGTTACAATGACTTATTCATAACCCCAGACTATACAAATTTGAACTTTCGCGAACTGAATGCAACAAGGAGCGAAAAAGCTTTACGTATCGACGAGGCCGGATATATTCGGAATGCGTATGACGCCCATCCCGGCATATCATGCATGAAACGAGTATACAACCCATAAATGTCTGTCAGTCACATTCTCGGAATGAACTCGATTCAAATCAGAAATGGAAACCGAATTGCGATATTTTTTCCCTCTTTTTTACTACTCGTCTTCTTTTTCTGCTTGAAACGAGTCCACAGCAAGTGGTTTTTGAAAAAAAATTTCCCCATATAGATTTTAACGCCGAAAGAGAAAAAACATATTGCGGAAAGAGAGTGGATATCCTAAAAGCATACCGCGAGAAACTGCGAGTTGCTCTGAGGTTGTTCATTCTGAGGCTGTAGTTCCGATTCGAAATTGAACGTGTAGCGCCGCTTCTGTCAAGCCTCTCCTTAAAATTCATAAGTATCACTCAATACTCTAGAATGAGACCGATGTAGATAAGTGCTTTTCGCGATGAAGATAGTAGTATTCATAATTATCATTGTCGTGGCCCTTTCAAAAGCATCAAGAAGTGGTTCTGGCAGATACAAGGTAAGCCCAAAAGGATGTTTATCTCTTCATATTAATCATTATTTATGATAAAATCTTAACATTTTTTTCAATGTGTTTTTTATGATTATCTAGGAGAGAAGACATATTTGTAGTCAGATATTTTACGGACGCTTTACAACTGTTACAACGCCTCCCAGAGAATGTAGAACTTCCATGCCGAAAAAGATTCACTGGAAAAAAAAAACACATTGGATCTAGAGTCCAGATTCTTAAAAACATCGACAAGAAAAAATACTCTTGATTCAATCGGATTTTTGCTTAAATCAAGGACCAAGCCTCTTAATTTGAGCGGATTTCTTTTTGATTTAAGCTTAAATCTGATTGAATCAAGAGTATTTTTTCTTGTCAATGTTTTCAAGAGTCTGGACTCTAGATCCAAATGTGTTTTTTTCCCAGTGTTGTCTTTCGTTGTAGTTGTCCTGGTCTCAATATGAGAGGAGTGGTAAATATCCATAAAGGATACTCATCTCTAAGGATTCATCTCTTTCTATCATTCACATCGGCATGAAAGCAAGAATAGCTGACATGCTGAAAATAATTTGGCCCATAAGCATTCTTTTTCATTTATTTATTAATTTGTTTTCAATTTTTAAGAGAATGTCTCTAATTATTGAACATATTATTTTGCACGCATCAAGTATTAAACTGTTTTTAGAGTCATCGAGCCACAAAAAATTAGGTCGAACATTACTACAAGAAAACGGCTTCCTCGGCAGTTTTTGATTGTGCCAAGGAAAATAATATTGTCGTATCGAGAGAGCAATAGATTTCACCCAGTATTTCAGTTGGGATGTAAAGAGTTTCCTTCTCCTGGCAAAGAATTTCAGGTAATCGTAGAAAAAAAAAGTTTGACGCGGAGAGGCAACTTTTATCATCACAACAGATGGTTTACTCTGTTTAACTAATCGTCCTCTCATCGTAGTAGTTATTTACCTCTGCGCAAATGGACACTTCCTCGAGAAAATAATTATTAATCCAATTTGCACTGAACTAATTGACTTTGAATGGGTCAGTTGCCCTAATCACAGAATCGCGTTTTGATGCTTTATTCTTGTAGATCAACTAAAAATATTAAGATCTTTCCAAACAGCATATTTCTACGTTGAATATTAACTGAGATATCGCGCCTTGAAAAACTCGATTTATGACGTCATCCACCGTGGTAGTACACACCAAGTTGAAGTTATATACTACCGCGGTGGACGACGTCAAAACCCCGATTTTTCAAAGGACGATGTCTCGGTTAATACTCAACGTAGAAAATTGATGTTTGGATAGGTCGTCTTATTTTTAGCTAATCTGCAAGAATCAAGCATCAAAACACGATTCTGTTACCAGCGCAATTGACCTATTTCACAATGCTGCCAACGCAAAACGCGTACTGGCGCCTACAAGACTGCATGGATACTTCACGCATTGCGCGTACACCACGGAGGATACTTCACGCATTGCGCGTACATTACGGTGCGTGTGCGCAATGCGTGAAGTATCCATGCAGTCTTGTAGGCGCCAGTACGCGTTTTGCGCTAGCCGCACTGCTATTTCAAGAGTCCCGATTATGAACTATGTCCATCACGAATCTCGTGTTTCCGAGCAAATGGCCCATTGTAACTAAAATGATTTGTTATCTTAAATAGATGAGGTGGGGTAATACTGACGAAGAACGGGAACAGAAAGTAAAGGAGGTGATCAAAAACGACCTGTGCTCTGACCCGGAACTAAACTCTTGGACAGCGGATTTCAGCAAAGCCCATATGAAAAAAAAGTCCTCCAAGGCACATACAGGATGTAGGGAAGCAGCGGAGGCCCTGAACAGTCTTCCAGAACGGTACAAGGTGGACAAATGCGAGACTGATTGGATCGGATCAGCCAAATGTCGTGCCAAGCCGGGAGAGGGCTACCAGTGCACCGTCATCCCCTACAAAGAGGAGCTCCTCTTCTTCGATTTCCTTTGCTACAAAAGACTGGATAGACAAGCCAAGTATCTGCTTCGGGATTGCATCAACCCGGACATATTGAAAGAATGGGAAAACGAGGATAAAACACTGCAGAGAACCACTTCTGAGTCTTCGGTTGATACGCAAACTTCACGTAAGAAAAAACGGCGTTCAGGAAAACTCACATTACAAGAGTTAATAAAAAATAGGTCATCATCCAAAGAGCCAATCTCAGATTAGAATAGGGGCATCTCAAGTCAAGGAGCACTTGTGCTGCCGTGGTAGGGAGGAATGCCGTATCAGCATTCGAATGCTGCCCAATGGACCACTAGACAAAGTACGAATTTTAGCATTCTGATTTATGTTTCTTGACCAAAATTTCACGTAGAACACGATGCGCACAGGAAAAATTACCAAAATCAACTCCTTACAAAGATATTTAATGATTCTTGATGCGTGAATTCAAACCATCCGCTCATGAAAACTCAATGCTCTACGTGATTCACATCGCGCTCTAAACGTTATCATGATGTCTTAGTGATATAAAAATCTGGCAACATCGATCTTGACGCTTCGGCTCAGCAGTAGCAAATTGCTTATAGTTTGAACAACACATGGTGGGAAATGAACATTGCTCGATTGAGAGGCTTGCTGAAACTGTTGTAGTGCGCGATTTGACTCACGTAGAGCTTTGAGTTTCTTGTCAGCGGGCAGTTCGGAATCCGCGTAACCAACGTGAAATAAAAAGATTAACATCTTTGTTAGGAGTTAGTTTCAGTCAATTTCGTTGCGCAAATCGTGTTCTACGTAAGATTCTGGTTAAGAAACATGTATCAGAATGCTTGAATTCGTGCCTTGTCTAGTGGTCTATTCCCTCTCAGAAAATATCAATTTTTGAAGAAAGTTATGAATATCTTCCCTTGAAATTTTCAGACTCTTCACATCAAATTGCGAACAAAATACTCCAAAAAATCGGAGTATTTTGTATTGCAAATATTATTCACAAGTTTTTCTGAAAATTCGTTGTTTTTCGAAGGAAATTTGGCAACGCCTGATGGATCATACGGCGTTCTCCCTTAGCTAGGCAGCACGGGGCCGCGCGAGTATTCCTACCTCACGGAGAAAAAACTTCGTGCATGGGACCCGAATCTCAGGTCCTATGGATCTCTGAAGTTTTCGGATCACGCATCCGAAAACTTGAGGTCGAGCTGCCGAAGTTCAGGTCAGACATCGAGCCACTTCGGTATGTACCGGAGTGCTTCAGATGTGTGACCCGAATTTCGGTAGCTCGACCTCAAGTTTTTAGATATATACGTGATCCGAAAACTTCAGAGATCCATATGACCTCAACTTCGGGTCCCACTCACGAAGTTTTTTTCTCCGTGTTAATTTTTGACCCCCTTTCCTCTTTGTAAGACACCTCTAAACCAAATTCTGGGCCCCTCTTGAATTACGTAAGACTGGCTGATCCGTACCCTTCCCCCGATTTGTCAGAAAGTAACAGAAAATACCTGGGAAAAAGGTTGAAAATCAGTCTTATAGGCAAACATTTCTTTCCCAACCAATGAAATTGAAATTAAATTTGTATAAATATCAAGGTTCGTGTATTTATTCCTCTGTGTCATGATAAAATAGGTATAATCTCCTGGCGTCATTTTGACGTAAATTAAATATGAAAATTTCTAATAATGTGACTCATAACCTTCTTCAAAAATTAATATTTTATCGGAGGAGATTTGACGACTATCGAATGTTCATACGTTGCACAGTGGATCGAGTCGATAGGGGAGGTCGGACATGAAATTTTTGACTAAAACTTCAAATTTTCATGTTTATTTCGTCACATTTTAAACTTTACGGGGTGTTCTTGAAGAAAATTTCACGAGGAAACCAACGGAATCACTTTCAGAGCTTCAAAACTTTTTATGAACGGAGTTACAAGCGTTCAAAGTTTTCAAATTTTGTCCGACTTCTCCTATTGACTCGACCCATTGTGCGTCGTTCCTCCTTTGCAGAATGGCTGAAAAGAAAGGTAGGGCAAACTAGGACTGTTTTCGGGAGGCTTTCGAATCACGGACCTCCGTTTCCAGACCCCGATTCCGTTGAATATGGTGGGAATTGGTAAGAAAGGGGTTGTTAAAGGGAGAGGAGGGTGAGAGATCCTCAGCTTGCCGAGCAAAGGAGGCAATTTTTGACTTCTCACCCCTTAATCTATGGTTACAGACAAACCTGAAACATCGGTGAACTTGTTAGGGTGGCGTATAGAATGGGCAATAAATTCCGCAGACTATTTGTCCCAGGGGATGCCCGTGCACGATAGTTGAATGCATACAGTTTTCAGTGAGAGGGTGACTGTATTGAGATCCAGTTATATTTATGGACTGTGCTGCTCATAAGGGTAGTAAATCGGGTTCAGCAAGCTTGCAATTTGTGGAGGGGGGGCGGGGCGCCTGTTTACTTTGGTTCACGTGCATCATTAAGTGAAAAAATAAAGAGGTTTCAAGAGAGAGAATAAACATTCTCTGCTGAATGTTCAAGTACTTCAAAACATCTTATTTATAATTAGATGTAATTTAGTAAACACCGATTTTGAGATTTTCATTTGCGAGAGATCAATGAGATCGTAAATGGCAATGATCGCTAAGAAAACTTCAAAAGGATCGTCGTAGAGTGAAGTTCTTAAGGCTCAGGATGAAGGTGCACAAGGTACTCTTACAGCGAGAACATGACAAGGAAAACTGAAGATTTCAACCCATGTATGAAGTCGGAAAAATCGTACTTCCATCGCAAAGTTTCAAAATCTCCAACAACGATTATTTCAGTTTATCTTATTTTTTTATATGTTTTGATAAGAAGCAAACTAACTAAAATATTTCCTCGATTTTTTTTTGTACTTTGGAATAAACGAAGAATATTCACAAACAATTTCAAGGAGAACTGTTGGTTACCTATTTTTTTCAATAATAGATGAGCTAAGGACTGCAATGCAGCAATCGGAGATCGCAATCGTAATCTGCGAACTTACCTATCGACACGCAATTTTTTTATGCTAAAGAAAAACGTTTAAGAAACGTTTTTTGACGGCTCAAAATCGGTTTTCCCAGAAGTTCGAGAATCAGCCTTGAACACATTAACGTTCGTAACGTAGTTCGGTTCAACCTCGCTCATCACAGCTCATCTAAAAAAAATTAGACGCACTTAGCGAGGAGTCCCTTCAAGAGTGTGGTTGTCACGCGGGTCATATTCGATTCGCTATATCACTTTACAAATGCATTCCAGCCCGAGTGGGAAGCCCATATGTATGTTTTTGCGATGTGCGAAGATGGCTAAGTGCACGCAGTTGTCAATATCTCCGATTTCTCGATGGCCAATTGTACACTCAACTGTCGTCATAGCAGTAACGACCAACATTTCAAAATCGAGTTCCTCTCAAAATTCAACCGATTCACGCGGGTAGATTTATAAAATTTGTGTATGTCTATGTGCATGAAAAATTAAATTCACCTAATCTATCGCTCAGTTATGTAGACTTTGTTGATTGTTATGTAGACTTGACTTGAGAAGAAAATCTTCAGATTTGGTTCTTGAGCTATAACTATGTTTACTCGATAAGGAGGAAGTATTAAAGATGTGAAATGTAATCTTCCAAGAATATATTCGTCGTAGTGAATAGCTGTGTACATCTGATATATACTATCGCATAATTTTAGCTTTTGATGTATGTAATGGTGCGACCCCGATAGTGAAACTGGGAAAATAAAGTATGTCGATTGTAGTTTATGGCCTCACAGACCTCACTATTTTCAAAAGAATCTATGTTACGTTCATAAAATGTTCATGAAATATTCTTTAAAAAGGAGCGGAAGACATAAATATAATTTTTAATGATGTTCAGTCGTCCTGCAAAAAAGTTTAAAAAAATCTGCATTGTCGAAATCTGTGATTTCTGTTTTTCTACAGCAACTGTCAAGAGGCAAAGTAGATAGTTTTACTTTTTTAATTGGACTGCATTTTGAAATTAGGAGCTACAATTTCTGGCTCAGTTCAAAAACAACGTATGTTCCATTGGTTTCCTTATGAACATACGTTTTTTTACAGGTGAGCCAGAAATTGAAGTTCTTAATTGCAAGATCTAGTCCATTTAGTATCCATGAAAAGTCGTGCTTGAGTCTTGCAAGTGAAAATACAAATGAGTAGCTATGTTCATTGATCCCTTACAGTTTAATGGTTATTAAACATCTACTTACTTAAAAGTTAGAACTACTGGGAGAAGCACTTCAGACCGACAAGATTAGGGCGTGTCTAACAATAAGTGTGAAGGGCTAAGTTTTTCTTTTCGAGGTGGAAGCTTTCAACTGGCAACATAGATTCGTCGATGGAGCACGCGCTGTTTGACACCATCACGACGCGTGATCATGTAACCCGGATTCCCCGGCTGTTTCGCGCGGAAGATCTGTTTCGTGTCTTTGCAGGGTGGAAGAATGCGGTCCTAACCTCAAATCGGTATTATCTATCATGTATTGAGTTTCCACGTATCGCCAGACGCCTGAAGAGGCTGTTGTGGGAGAGATCAACAGAGTTAAGTGCCAGCTTAGAGTATTGGGCGGCGTAATCTGGGATTAGAACTCACCAGCAGGCTCGAAGGAAAAGCTGGACCCATTGCTGCTAAATAAAATACCCAGAATTACGCCTCAGAGATTTTCTCGCAAACTCCCAGTTTGTGCACAAATATAAGCCAAGAAGTTTCAAAAACTATAATTAGAGTCAAAAATAATTTTTTTTTTTTAACTCTAATGAAACTTTTTAAATTTTTTAACTCTAATAAAATCTCTTTTAAAAAATAAATAAAAAAAAATAAAAATTTGACTCTAATTGTAATGTTTGGAACTTCTTGACTTTGATTTCCCCGCGAAATGGTGTGGACCCAGCACAATTTTTCCACGTTGTTACATACAGTTCACTAGTTCAGGCCACTTCTTGGCGTTTTTCGCTCTCATTTGCACAAATAAACCAATCGGAAAGATGGAAAACTTAACATCTCAATACAATTTTTCCCTCTTTTTTTCAATTGAAATTTAAAGTACAACACGATGAACTCGAGGAAAATGACCAAATGTAACTCACGATTGACAAATGAACGTTTTTGACGTGTTTTCATAAAGCACAAACCCGTTTGCCAAAACACGAATGTCTACTAGTTCGAATCAAATGAGGTACAAATGAGGACAGAGTACTCTGTTCCCACGACCGAAGTTCTGTTCTTACAACAGAAAAACTCTGTAAATGTAACAAAGAAACTGCAGGAGCCCTGTGAGCAGAGGGTTCTGTCGTCAGCACCATTCATTTTTTTCTTTTTTGTGCATTGTCACTTTATTCCGTCAAAGTATCACAAGCGCCACCATGTGACTT